ACGGAGACAAGTTAATACAAGGCTGTCAATCAATTTGGTGGGCGGGGAAACCGCACTCCTACATCACGTTGTGGTGGGCCTCAAAACGGGAGGGATTTGGATCCTATTTTAACATCAGGAAATTTAAAAAAAGAGACTTATTGGGCCCTTTCATACATATGGCGCAATAAGGCGCAAGACATGTTTGCCCTGACATGTTGCAATTTTCAAACCAACGCAATCTTAATTTTCAGTTTTTTCGCCACGTTGTTTAAATAGCATATCCATTTGCATCACTTTGTGGAGTCATGGGTGTTCCAGTCTAAAAAGAGGTGTGTTAGGGAGCATAGTTGGTGTGTTGATATTTTGAGGAACTAAAAAAGACTGCACAATTGACAAGCTGAAAGCAGGTCTAATGTCCAGCGCAGAGAGCGTTAGTTATGCACCTCGCTTACACATTGCTTAAAACATGAAGGATGTGCTGCCAAACAGAAATATCTTTACATATGAAAAAGAATTTAAGGAATAAAATATCACAAAAATTTGTATTTTCTACATAAATATAAAAACCACTGCCTCCATGCCTTTTTCATCTTGGGGGGCTTTTACAGTTTATTCATGACAATTTGCTTTTGCATGTTATAATTATTTGCAGTATTTTTTATTATATGCATATTTATATTTGCTTTAATAAAAACAAGCTTAGATTTGACAACCTGTCAGGTTTTAGACCATTTGGGGCACAACATGTGTTGACCACACTTAGTTATAATTGTTAATTTATTCGTTTTCTGGAAATTAGAACTGAATTTAGAAACAGTTTTGAGTCAAATCTTTGTGCTTAACAAACAAAATTAATTAAGTAATCTAATGGATCCTTGAAAGAAAGGAAAAGAAAGTAGAAGTGAAGGTCGATTGAAAGAGGCTCATTCTTTATCCTCGCGCTGCAGATGCTCTGTTTAACTGTTTTGAAGTGTTCAGTTTTCCATTAACAAAGTCCACCATGTAAATAGCAAACACGCTATGATGCGACGCAACTGTCTCTTAAAGGGAATGAGAGATGAGATTCTGATTGGTTTATTCTCAAAACACACCCATAAGTTATTAAGAGAATAAGCTCAAACCTTTTAGACCTGCCAGGGCGCAGAGTGTCTTTATCCATCTTTAAAATAGCAAAAGTGGATTCAGACATGCCCCTAATACTTTTACGCCCTGCCCTTTAGACTTTGCACTTAGATCATTAAAATAGAGCCCATTGTGTTTATATCACCACAATATGCAACACAATCTCACAGCAATTCATAACTTTTTGATTTAGTGGCTAATTCGTATGAATTAGTACGATCTAATTCGTACAATTTAGTAGGATTTGCTCATTAACCAATGACGGTTGGGGTTAGGGGTGGGTTTGGGTGCCATGCCTCCTTTTTAAAATCGTACATTTTCGTACAACTGAACTTGTACGAATTTGTACGAATTAACCACTAAACTGTCACAACGTAAAATACTTACGTTTCCTCGTAAGATCAGGCTGCAATATGACTGTGGACACACTATATCTGCACACAGTTCTGTCCAAACAGCTAACAAAAGATATTTTTCATCATTGGTGCTCTTTAAATCAAATCTGTATTTTAACATGAAAAATAACAATATACTAATACCCCACTCCCCACCAAACTTTTGACACAAACACAAACTACTTGATGAAGCTAAAAGATAAAAACCAGAGGAATATCCTAAGAGAGAACCCTATGATTTCAGCTGATCCTTCAGAGAGAGAGGGAGAGAGAGAGAGAGAGAGAGAGTAATAATCAACAGTGTGTTTTCTGTGCCTCTGTTGAGAAAAACAAGAAAAAAGCAGATTAACAGGGCAATGAAACTGGAGAGTGTGAGCAAACAGAGACATAAAAAACATGTTTTACATCAGCAGAATAGTTTTCTGCAAGACCTGTAGATTCGCCTTCACTTTCACTCTTCAGGGACCTTTTCTTTTTTCAACTAATAAAACTCTAGCTTGTTTTCTTATCTCACAGACTTTATTCTCTGTTTGCTTTCTGCTGATGTGACTTTTATTTTGAAGTAGTTTTCTGTTTCATTTTCTTTTAGTAGTGCTGAGTCTCTGAGTTTTTGTTTTATTTAATTTTGTATATTTTTCAGAGGTTTATTTTTTTTAGTGTATATATATATATATATATATATATATATATATATATATATATATATATATAAATATATATATATATATTTTTTCATTATTTATTAGATTTTTTTTGTATTAACAAATATATTCCAAAAGTTAAAGGGATACCAAAACTTTTAATTTACTCAAAACTTTTGTTTGTTAATGTGGGTTGGCACGGTGGTTCAGTGGTTAGCACTAACACCTCACAGCAAGGCTGGACCAGTTGGCATTTTTGTGTGGAGTTTGCATGTTCTCCTTGTGTTGGCGTGTGTTTTCTCTGAGTGCTCCAGTTTCCCCCACAGTCCAAAGACATGTGCTACAGATGAATTGAATAAACTAAATTGGCAGTAGTGAATGTGAGAGTGTATGGGTGTTTCCCAGTACTGGGTTGCAGCTGGATGGTTATCTGCTGTGTAAAACATATGCTGGAATAGTTGGCAGTTCATTCCGCCGTGGCGACCTCTGACAAATAAGGGACTAAGCTGGAGAAAAATGAATGAATAAATGAGTTTGCTAATGTTTACCGTATCATTTCAGAATGCAGAGATCTTACATTATGACATGAGGATCATGTTCGTGCAGTCTGACATGCTACAATCAGTTTAGGATGATAAATATTCAGGCTCAACGCAGATTTATCTGTCTGCTTTTCTTCTCTTCAGGTGATAAGGATGACGAATACCGCACACACAAAAGCCAGAACCTAAGCTTTTTTGCACCGTAACTAATGATCAACAGTAAAAATCACAAATTTCAAATCTTCCCAACAGGGAAAGCCAACAACAATCAGCAATGCATGATTATATGCTGTCATGGTTTTGCAATCAAAAAACGTCAATTTAATGAAAGCCAATGGGGCAAAAACAACCCCGAACATAACAAAAAGGGGTAGTTAGTTTGCCAAGAGTGTATTGTAGAGGGTTTGTTTTTGTTTTGTTTGTTTTTTTTCCAAAGCACTTTCAAAATATGTGTCAAAATAAGATGCCACAAAAAATATCCCATTTGCTGAAACAAAGGGAAAGTTGTGGTCAAATAAAGCCTCAATATCAACCCTGAGTGGATGAAAACATCCCCAACAGCACACAAAACTTAGGCCCATTCCCAATTCTATTATTTTACATGAATGTATGTTGTGGCACTATAATGCAGGAGCTGTTATTTTTGTGGTAAATAGCCAAATTTCACGGTTTTTAATGTTTTTTTTAAAGCCTGACTGTAAAACACGAAAAGCATTATGAATGTATTAAAACACATTTGCTTGTTGTTAAAAAAATTCCAAATATTGCCAAAACATACTTAAATTTGTGACCTTATTGACTCATGTGTACAGCCATCTTTCTGTTGTAGCTGGTGTATTTTGGCAAATTTTTGTACACCTTCGTTTCTAGTGTGGTTCTGGAAAATCTCTGTTTCAAGGGCTATATCTAGCCTTCCCCTTAAAATTGGGATTGAGCCTTAACACAGGTTTATCTGTCTGTCTTCTTGGGTGATAAGGATGACGAATACTACATCCACAAACATCATCTGGCTGAGCTCCCACACAAAAGCCGGAAACTAAGCTTTTTTTGCACTGTTACTGATGATCAAATGTAAAAATCACAAATTTGACCCCTTACCAACAGGGAAAACCAGGAACAATTAAGAATGCATGATTATATGCTGTCAGGGTTTTGCAATCAAAAAATATAATTATAATGGAAGTCAATTGGGCAAAAACATCCCCAAACATAACAAAAAGGTAGTCAATTTGCCCAGAGTGTATTGTTGAGGTTTTTTTTTTAACTCCAAAACATTTTTCCAAAATATGTGTCAAAATAAGATTATAAGAAAATAAGATTTGCTTGAGAAACCTGTGGCCAAATTAAGACTCAAAATCAACCCAGAGCGGATATAAACATCCCCTACAGCACATAAGACTTGGGCCAATGCCGTACTTATTTTTTTTTTACATGAATTTAAGTTGTGGAACTACAATACATAAGTTATTATTGTGGATAATAAATTTAATAAATTTCACGTTATTTAATCTTTTTTTTTTTTTTTGAAAGCATGACTGTAAAACACGAACAGTGATATGACTATATTAAAACATGCTTGTTTGTTGTTATAAAATTCCTAATAATGCCAAAACATACTTAAATCTCCTGACTCGTGTGTGCAGCCATATTTCTGTTGTAGCTGGTGTATTTTGACAAATTCTCGTACACCTTGGTTTTTTAAAAAACCTTCATGTCAAGGGCTGTCTAGCTCTTCCCCTTAACCCTACAATTAAAGTTAAATAAAATTGGGTAAGGGGAAGGGCTACGGGGTAGAATTGGGATTGTGTGTGTTAACGCAGGTTTATCTGTCTCCTCTTCTCCTCTTCAGGTAATAAGGATGACGAATACTACATCCGCAAACACCATCTGGCTGAGCACAGAGCCAGAAACTAAGCTTTTTTTCCACTGTAACTGATGATTAACAGTAAAAAAGATAAATTTGATCTCTTCCCAACAGGGAAAAACCAGCAACAATCAAGCATGCATGATTATTGTCATGGTTTTGCAATCATAAAATTTGGTTATAATGGAAGACAATGGGGCAAAAACAGCCCTGAACATAACGAAAGGTTAGTCAGTTTACCCAGAGTGTATTGTTGGGTTTTTTTTTCAAAGAATTTCCCAAAATATGTGTCAAAATAAGATTAGTCTTAGCATTTTCAACCCAAAATCATTCTATTTGCTGAAACACAGAGGATCCTGTGGCAAAATTAAGCCTCAAAATCACCCCGGAGTGTTTGAAAACATCCCACACAAGGCTTGACACAGATTTATCTATTTGCTCTTCTTCTTGTCAGGTGATAAGGATGACGAATACTACATCCGCAAGCACCATCTGGCTGAGCCACCACGCAGTTCGAACCTGCAGACGCACATGATCAAGCTGAGCGTGGAGCCGCCTGCACCCCGCCAGAAGCCAAACGTGTGCAGAGGGCCATGTCTCAGGACCACGTGCTGTCCCCAGCCCGCTCTAAACCCCACCGTGACTACGGCTTGTCGTCGTACAGCGGCGGTGCTGGTGGTCTGTCCCCATACCACGGCCGAATCCTGTCAGAGGAGCAGCTGCTGTCCGCCGACCGGCTGCACTCGCAGGATCCGCTGCTCTCACCAGAAAAGATGTTGTCGCTGCGGCGCTCAAACCTCCGGGAGAAGGCCATGTCCAGAGCGCTGTCCCACACGGACATGTTCATGCCCACCACGCCCGTCATGGACCGCCACTACAAGATGATGAAGATGCACTCGCACCCCAGCAGCTCCAACCACGAGAACTACAACACGCTGACAGTAAACAGCGCACAGGCCGGCAACAAGAGGCAGGCGTTCGCCAACCGCCGCATGCACACAGTGGACCACCTGCAGTACATCCCGGGACACCACCATCACCAGTACAGGACCGCCAGCAAGACGGAGGTCACCGTCTGAGAGACTCCAATTGAAAAGGATCCCTCTTGCCTGGCCCCACCCCTAAATTAATATTAGCCAATCAGGTAGCGTTGTAAAAAAATGCCAGTCAGGTCAGCCAATTTTTCATTTGAATCATTTATTGCAGTTATTGTTAATTTGATTTTTTTTGCTATAGTTTTGTTTATTTGATGTATTTTTTCAGGAGGGGGTCATTTCATTATTAAGAATATCCCATCTTTTTCTTTTTCAACTCTTTCTGAGTTTGTGGGAGTTTTTAAACTGGTGGGTGTCTCTGAATAGTCCAATGAAAAAATCCACTTTACTTGACCCCACCCCTAAACCCAATTTGTGCCAATCAGGTAGCATAGTTAAAAACTCCCCTCTGTGTTGGTCAGGCCCACCAACTGTATCATTTATTTCACTTAATGCTCAATTGATTTTAATTAATATTTATTTTTCTATAGTTTTTTGTATTTAAAATGTCCATTTCTGTTTATTTCATGCGTTTTTTAGAAGGGGGTCATTTAATTATTCTGAAATTTCATAGTTTTTGCATTTCTGAGTTTGTGGGAGTTTTCAAACTGGTGGGTGTTTCAGAATCATCCGGTGAAAAGGATCCACCTTACCTTGCTCTGCCCCTAAACCCAACATGAGCTAATCAGGTAGCATGATTTTAAAAAACACCCCTTTGTTTTGGCCTTGGCCACCAATCTGGGAGCTCTTTTACTTTGTATAAGATTTTTCACATTCATTTAGTTTAATTGTCCAATGAAAATGATCCACCATACCTGGCCCCACCCCTAAACCCAATGTGAGCCAATCAGGTAGCATGATTAAAAAAAACACACACCTCTGTTTTGGCTAAGACTCCAATCTGGTAGCTCTTTAACTTTCAGTTTGTATAATTTATACCACATGAATTTCATTTACTGTTTTTCCCAACGTTTCACACTTATAATTTAAGTGTTTGTTTATTTTTTGAATTTTTATTGGGACATTTAATTAATTAAAATTTTCTGATTCACATTTTAGTTACACAGACATTGTCATAGCAAAAACCATACATAAGGATATATGCTAGTTATTATGTGAGTGATCATGAATACAGACCAATTTGGGACTCTATATTGCAGGTGTTTATAACTTATGCGTCTTTTCGAGCAGGTGTGTTTTTCTGAATCATCCAATGAAAATGATTCCCCTTAACTAACCATACTCCTATATCTAACTCCCACTATGAGCAGATCAGATAACGTGCTCCAAAAAAAAAAAAAAAACGCCCCTGCTTTTGTCCACCATCACCAATTTGGTAGCTCCCACTACTTTCCATCATTTATTTTAGTTAACGTTTTATTGATTTGAATAATTTATTTCTATGATTTCAGATTGTTCAGTTTACGTATTTTTCAAGACGGTGAGTCATTTCATTATTTTAAATGTCTTGCATTTCTGAGATTGTGGGTGTTTTCAAACTGATAGGTGTTTCTGAATAATCCAATGAAATAGATTCCCCCTATCTGACCACATCCCTATATCGAGCTCTCACTATGAGCAAATCAAGTAATGTGCTTGAAAATAAAGCCCCCTGTTTTGGTCATGGCCCGCTACTTTCAATCATTTATTTTAGTTAATGTTTTATTTATTTGAATAATTTATTTCTATAATTTCAGATTGTTTATTTTTTATATTTAGGATGGTGGGTTCATTCATTATTTTAAAATGTCAGATATTTTGCATCTCTAAAGGCTCGAACACACTGGGATGCTTTTTGTTTGCTTTTATCATCAGCGTTTTACGAGACGTTTTTCCGGATTAAAACCCATGCGATTTTCACTGGCGTCAAGCAAACGAGTATGCAAAATCACTCCTTGACGTTAGATGACGCTAAGCTTCTGACAACCCGCTTATAGCACAGAAGAGGAAGAGAGGAAGTTCACACGCTTATTGTTAAAGTTACTGGTGACTCGAACAAGCATGGATGGTTCAAGTAGCAGCTCTGGCTCTAGCGATGAAGAAATGATTATTTTTCGCCAGTGCAATAAGCAGCTCCACGTTCATATCGCCTCTGGGCATCTTCTTCAAAGTGCGCTCGCAATGACAGTTTTGCGCTTGAGCGCCTCCAAGTGCTGTTTACTGTAACTTTAGCAGCTCTGTGCATGTGAACAAAAGTGGCAATCTGATTGGAGGAGTTATTTAGTCATGAGGCGTTAAACGTCGACGGGAAACGCGAACAAAAAGTATCCCGGTGTGCACGTGCCTTAAGATTGTGGGTGTTTTCAAACTGGTGGGTATTTCTGAATCATCTGTTGAAAATGATTCCCCTTACCTGACCACGCCCCTAAACTCTCACTATAAGCAAATCAGGTGACATGTTTGGAAAAAAAACACCCCCTGTTGGCCACACATTTGGTAGCTCCCACTATTTTCCACCGTTTATTTCAGTTAACGTTCTATCAAATTTCTATTGAAAATTCTATAGTTCACATTTTATTTCGATAATATCAGATTGTTTATTTTATGTGTTTTTGAAGAGGGTGGGTCATTTCATTATTTTAAAATGCATTTCAAAGTGTTTTTAAACTAGTGGATGTTTCTGAATCATCCAGTGACAAGATCCCCCTAACCTAACCCCGCCCCTAACCCCAACCATCACTATGACGTGAACCAATCAAGTAACGTGGTGGAAAAACAACTCTGTTTTGGCCACGTTTACCAATCTGGCGATTCCATTACTTTCCTGTACTCGGATCAAGAACTGCTTTGATTCTCCAGCGGCTGGAAAGAGCAAAAACGCAAGGGCTTCACATATGGACGCCGGACTCGATTTTGTCCAGATTCACCACTGCGAACGGCTACGATCCTGCAATGACTTTATACATACAATAACACGAGCTGCACTGTGAGGCCGACGCTTGGAGTAATGCTGCTTTAATGGAAGACGGTCGACGAGGATGTGTTTGTTTAATCCGAGAGATCAAATGTGAAGTATTGTTGCGATTTAGAATAGCCGTTTTCTTACGTGCGTATGTTTTGAAATGGGATTTATTTATGTGGATACTTCAGTGTCACATGATCATTCAATTCAATTCAGTTTTATTTGTATAGCGCTTTTACAATGTAGATTGTGTCAAAGCAGCTTCACATAAATGGTCATAGTAACTGGAACAGTGTAGTTCAGTTTTTAGTGTTTAAGTTCAGTTCAGTTCAGTTTAGCTCAGTTCAGTGTGATTTAATCATTACTGAGAGTTCATACACTGAAGAGCAAATTCATCGAGGCGTTGCTCTACCAATCCTGAACCATGCGAGCCAGTGGCGACAGCGGAGAGGGAAAAAAAACTTCACCTGATGGGAGTGAAGAAAAAAAACCTTGAGAGAACCAGACTCAGTTGGGCACGACCATTTTAATTTCTCCGCTGGCCAAAAGTCTTGTGCAATCATGCGGGAATGACAATAGTATGAGGATTTGATGAGCATTTCTGATTATTGCGTGTCAAGCAGTGATTCTTTTTATCATTATTCTTCCGCGCCAGACAACGTTTTAAGTTTGGCACACCGATAGATGGCAGACTGATCTTCTATCACAGCAAATTTGGACTCACGAAATCTACATAAACATAAAAAACAAACAAACATACATTTTATCGTTGATGTATATCCAGTTCAACAAGACGGAGGGAAGTTTAGCGAGAGAAGAGTATAAAAATTTCCAATGCAATGCAGTCTTGGGCTGCGTCCAAAATCTCCTACTACTCAGTAGGTACTGCATTTGAATTTACTAGTTGACCATTAGAAAAGTAAACTGTATAAAGTATAAAAGTGAGTAGTACAAATGGAATTCTGACGTACTACATCTGCCATTTTGTCATGATCAGATGACCTACCTGAGTCACTGTCGTCGCTTCACTCCCACTCATGAATTCTCTCACGATGCATCATGAGATAGCATAGCCTGCATCAAATGCACACTTCAGAATCTCGCCAGAAGTAGTAGGTCATCCGGGTACTTCTCGCTTGCTGTTTTTTTAATTTAAATAAATTGGATGTACTACTTGGCTCGCTTACTGTTTTTAGTGTACTATGTAGAATTGAAGTATGCAGTTTTTGATGCAGCCTTGGTGTGCATTATTACAAAAAATGACCTGAGGTCACATGCAAAGTTTCGACACAGCACCCCCTAGTGGTCAGGAGCTATTTTTGGCTATTTTTACTCATAACTTTTAAACACAAAAAAATTGTCTCATTAGTTTGAGAGTGGCATACCAAGACCAAGGTTGTTTTTAGCATTTCCATTTTTAGTTTAATGAAACATACTATATTTAATGAAAACATTGACATATTATGAAAATGTCATGATTTTTCTGATATCTTAAGTAATCTCAAAATGTCTTCAGTTTCATTTGTTATTTGTCTCAGTCTGACTGCCAGTTTTTATTATTATTGTTATTATTTGTATTTTTATTATTATAACTATTATTAATAATAATATTTATCAAGGACACTTTAAATTGATAAAATGTGAAATTTAACCAAAGATTTGTATTGTATTTTGCATTTTTAAAATGCCATTTACAAAACTACCATAAAATAGTATATTTTATATATTATTTAATTTCTGTGAACTTTTATTTGATTTATTTAGTGTTTTTAAATATTGTTCAAGCAAAAAAAAAAAAAACTGTTGCTTTGGTATCTAATTGGAATACTATTGTTTATTTAAAATAAATGTAATATGTATTTATTGTGAAGAGGATACTGCCAATTCATTGGATGGGGATGAGTGGGAGGGCTTGATGGGTAAGGGCCAATGGAGTAAATTTGGTCAGGACACCGGGGCTACATCTCTACTCTTTTTTACAAGAAGTGCCATGGAATTTTTAATGACTACAGAGAGTCAGGACCTTAGTTTAATGTCTTATCCGAAAGACGGCACTCACTGACAATTTAGCATCTCCTTCACTTTACTAGGGCGTTAGGACTCACACAGA